ACTAAACGAATTCATTTAGTAGAAATAACAAACATTGTTTAGTGCTAGAGAAGATTTATAGATGGGGTGGACGATTTTGATGGGGTTTTGTTCTCTGACCTGGATGGTTTGGCGTGGAGCTTTCAGGGTAGAAGTTTATGTTGGTGATGACGTTCAGAAGAACGATGAATGCTCCACAACCATACTATCCAGCTCAGAGAAAAAAAATCCAACAAAATTTCTTTGTACTACCTAATTATCTCAAAAATCTATGTACATGTATGAAATGATTAGTTAACATTAAGTAATATTTGCTATTTCCATAAAATGAGTTTGTCTAATTCATTAGAATTTATCTTAGTTAAACTTATTAGGATTCTGAAATTGTCCACATCCTATATGAAAACAAACAAATCAGTTAAATTAGGTCCATTATTTGAATGGATTTGTATACCTCGGGTTGCTGATATTATGAACTGCAACCGATGAGTTTATTTGGATATATGTGTAGTGAACGAACAGCCAGCTAGGGAAGTCCAATTTACTATTCAATATAAAATTACAAAGTTCCTTCGTAAAATCTGAAAAACCGTACATTAAATACTTCATTTGCAAATCTTCCATCAACTGTTGCATACTCCATCATGCCTTCATTGTTATTACAATTACTCTTTGTTAACATTCCTTCTCTTTTCAATTCAATCTTCTCAACCCTCTGCTGCCAAGCATTCTACTTCTGATTGGTTTCAAATACTACTTATATCTGTCAACATCAGTACTATACACCACATATGTAAATCATTAGTAGATAATAGCGATATTATTTTGTGGTCATAAGGTTTAAATAAATTGTTTAATGGTGAACAATAATATTCAAAATGCGCATTTCCTCCGATTCCGGACCCATAAACTACATATCAGTGAATATTAGTGTTATTGAATTACATTCTAGATTCCTTTGAAAGTTATTTCGTAAACATATGAGAAAACAAAATTCATATTCAGCATTGAATTTATTATTTAAAATATGAGGGCTACAAGCTATTTGACGTTGTATTTATTAGCTCTGGAGAGAAGAAATAACATTTTATAATAAATTCTAAATAGACCCGGTTTCAAATAAATGAACATTCAGAGAGAAAAGACGAGAAGATTGAAACTTTCTTATAAATACGCTTGTTATTGACTGGAAAGAACAAATAATTGTTCGAAATCTAATCAGATTTTTTTATTATTATTATTGTTAATATTATTATTATGTCCTAAGGTGACGCAATTGTCTTCTCATTTGTTATCTTGCTCGTTTTATGACCAAAGTTCTTATCTTTCTAGAGACATTATTTCAGAAACAAGTATCCATAAAATAGACATGAAGAAAAGATTTCTGTCAAAACGTTTCATGTGGGTAGAATGTCTTGATATCGATTTTTCTAAGGACTTATTGTGTGTTATGACCTGTTTCTAGGGATGTTAATCGAAATATCAATGATAAGATTATATAACGCGACTGGAATTATACTTATAATAACTCTTGTAACTCAATGTTGAACTGGGGAGAAAAAGCTAACCATTTATTCTTGTTATTACAGACGATGGTTGATACAAAGATGATAAAATGAAAGGATAATTATAGAGTGTTTTGGTTTCCATCAAAATCAAATTTCGGAAATGGGATTTTTATAACTTCTCATTTAACAGCACATTCCTGTTTTAAAAATTCAACTTCCAGATACATTCTTACTGACTGGAAGAAGCAATGTACCTACCAGTAACATAATTATCCAGAATAATATATAATTCAAATTCTTTCAACAATTATCCATTTTCATAGTTGGAAGCGTGAGTCGATTGAATGTAGACCACCAGGGAAAACCTGTGAGATATCAACTCACGGAAGATAATTGGTGAACGGTTGCTCAACTTCGTGGATTGGTTGCAGTTAAACGTAAACAACATCAGATGCCGACTCAGTGGTTTATTGGTTAAGTGCTCTGGAGCGAGACTGGTAGATCCTGGGTTCGAATCTCGCGAGGCGAGATCGTGGATGCTCACTGCTAAGGAGTCCCACAATAGAACGAAACAGGCGTCCAGTGTTTCCAGGTTTTCTAGATTCAATTGACTCACGTTTTTAACTATGAAAATACAAAATCTCCACAAAACCCATTCTGATAATAATTATCCATTTCTAATTGATCTGTTTACATAATTTGTAATAACTTTGAGTAATTTAGAGTATATTCTGTAACAGATGTTTTCGCAAAATTTTATTGAAGTTACAAGTATACTACTTACAGTATTGTTGTATTGTTTACAATAAAAGAATAAAAGAATAACGCAGATGATAGTTTTCTATTTTGATTAGAAAAATAAAATCGAATATAAATCATCTGATCAGGTGATGCTAGCCATATCAATAGTTATTACAATAAAAATTATGTTATAGTTAACGTTTTGTTAGCGAGATTCATTATTACGGGATGAGGTTCCTAACCTAATCCCCAGCCTCTCAGTTGCAATCGGCACAGGCATTGACAGTGACCTTAGAAGGATTCTAAACAGATCAAAGAAAAATCACACAGATTCTAATTATGAATTAGTTGAGTGCTTTATTTATGATTAAAGATGTAGTTTAAACCCTTCATGTCATTTCCACACTAAACTTTTTATTTGGGTCCTCCCTGAATGATGCTGAGTTGGACCAGAGTCAAAATATGACAATTGATATATAGTTACAGTTTAATTCCTCTGTAATGTACGATTAGTCTACTTTAGAATGACATGATTGACAAGCTAAGTATATATTTTAAACGGTTCTCAATCAAGAAAAAAATTCTCTTAACAAATAGTTTACTTCCACATATATACACAGAAAGTTTTTTACACTTAAAAATAGGGATGTATAACAGAAATGGAGTTTTAGAACAGTTACTGAACTAGAAATTTTCTTAAGATCAGGTTCTTATTATCTTTATTTCATTCTCTAGTAAATATACGAATCAAGTGGGACTTATCGCACAAAAAGGGTTTTGTTCTATTTTAAGGAGGATTAAAGTTTAGAGTTTTTTCTTTTGTTTTATCAAAAAAGCTTACCTAAGAGATATTTAGTATAGATTATATTTACAGAGTATGATCTGTTGATGAAAAACACATTTAAATTGATCAATATGTCTAATTCTGTCGTATGCTTATTTTTTTTGTCTCATTCCGTCCCTTTTTTCTTCCCTTACTTCTCTCTCTCCCTCCCTCTCTCTCTCTCCCTCTCTCTCTCTTATATATAAATAATAGTGAAGCCTTTATTCATCATGTAAAAGGTCATCTAATTAATTTCCCTTTTTTTTTGAAAAACTTAACATGTAATTATATATTTTTTTTATTATAAACACTGTTTACCTGTTGTATTTAAAAATTCAAGGTCATGAGAAACAAAACAACAAAACATGAGAAACAAACTAAGCAAAAATAAAAAATAATTTATATAGAACTATACTACTTATTATTCGTTTTCATTTCTCTATTATAAACTAATATAATAACATGTAGAAAGAAGTCAGTTTATTTAATCTTATTAATTATAAAACTAGAAAATTAATTATAATAATTGACAGGGCAAATGATTTGATAACTTGAACAGTATAGAATTCACTTGGTATTGTTTGTTTGAGTATTCCCATTAATTTTTAGGACTGCGATTGATCAGTCTCTTATCGGGCATATGTGTATACTGGGTTCATTGCCTCGATATAGCCACTGTCCATCTTTGCTTATAATGCTTGTGAATTAAAGCTATATCGAGGCAATACGCACAATATGCACTTATGACAATAAGAGACTGAACAATTGCAGTCTTAAACATCAATGGGAATACTCAAACAAACAATACCAAGTGAATTTAAACTTCACCTCATTACTTGTGCGATGAGGTGAAGTTAGGTCTTCATATTTACACACCAGTAGTTTCCTATGAGTCAACACATGTATTGGAATCACCATAATCATCTCAAATTTTGTTCAATTTACCACGATAAATAAAAACACTAACGTTTTGGATGTTTCTCATAGTCACTGACATACTACATATATTGACAAGTTGAATCATAATTCATCACTTTCTCAAAGTGGTAGTTAAGGCTTTCCTGAAAACAATTAAGCCACTGTTTTTATTATATCATATATTGAATAGAAAGAGGTTGATTTGTTATACTTGTCACAAGTTGAGCATATATTTGTAAAATAAGAGTACATTCTCTAATTTATATGATTAGATTAATTAAATCCACAAAACTGTAATCAGCAACGTTAAAATTATGTCTTAAACTAGAATAATACAACAAATTTCACTCATTTTATACTTTCTTAAACTGATCAGAATAAAATATTAAATGATCTTATCTTAGATTCACTTGATGTTCTATACTTGTATCTTCCCATATTTATTCAGCACTGAAATTGATTAGTCTCTTGTTGGCATATGTGCATCCTGTTCGGACTGTCTCGATATTCCCTCAAGTCATACGTATTATAAACAAAAATGAATAGTGGTTAGCAGTGGAATCCTGGACTCACGTTTTGTCCTGAGATGTTGTTACATCCGCCTAACGTGTCTCAAATATAACGAAACGCATATTCTCGATTCCATTACTAGCCACTATCCATTTTTCAGAAGAGATTTTTGGGGAGATTTAGTATTTGCATAGTTGAAAGCATGAGTCAATTAAAGCTAAACCACCACGATAGGACGAAACGGCCGTCCAGTACTTCCAGGTTTACCTTGATGGTCTAGCTTCAATTAACTCATGCTTTCAATTATCCATCTTTGCTTATAGATCTTATCTTAAGTATCAGAAAACAGTTTCCGTATATGAATAAAACATTTTTCAATAAACAGAGTAATCAAGATAGTTTATTTGAGAAAAAAGCGAAACAACTTAGGATTAATTTTTTTTTTACTAACCAATAAGCAACAAAATACAAATGATTAATTATGATTGGTTTATTCCTTAAGAAATATTTATTTGTCATGTATTATTATAATTTTTGGTTAAATCAAATGAAGAACGGTGAAAACCCCATAGCAACTATTATTATTTCCATAATCTTCTTTACATGTTTTGATATACCTATTTATTGATAACTATGATCAATTCTAAGTAAATAAACAATCCAAAAAAAAATTTATAATGAAAATTAAAAATTTCAATAAACAATTTAGTTTAAAATCAATTAATACCACGGGGAATATTGATAAAATTGAATTAACATCCATGTACACTGGACCACCATTTGCTATAGCTAGTAGACAAATTGAAAATGGTTTATTAGATTGTAAAGAATTATTAGATTCAAAAATGTTTTATAATATATCGAATTCAACAAATACTACAACTACTACTAAAAACAATACTACTAATAATAATAGTAATAATGTTAGTTATATACCGTCAGGTAGTAAATATGAATGTTATCATTCATTATTATCAAATGAAGACCAAGTTTACAATAATAATAATTTAAAATCTTTACCAAGACGTAAATTCCTATCCAAACAATATAAATCAATAGATGTCATGATGAAACCTTCTTCTATCACTGATTATGATGATATAACCATCAAAACATCTAATAAATCTGTTGCATTTATTGAATGTGATAATTATAAATTAGATACCATGGAAACTATACATAATGAACCGGAATATATTCAAATAAAAAATAAAATAAAAAATAAAACCAAATCAATCATTGATAATCTATTACATAATAGATCATTAACATGTTGTAAGCCAAATATGAATTATAATTTATGTACAAATTTATCTGATTATATTCATGCAAATAATAGACGTAAACAAATTGTGATAATTATTATTGTATTATCGATTTTATTATTGATTATTATTATTATTACTATGGTAATATTGTATAAATTATATGACGAATCACCAACGTCTTCATATTCATTGTCACCAACATCGTCACCATTATCATCACCGACAACATCATCATCATTACAATTATCTTCTGAATTATTAAATCTAGAACCATTACATTCTACATTATCATCATTAAATCGAATACCAACTTATAATCAACAACTTAATATATCTAAAATTTTATCTACTAATCACAGTAATATTAACAATAGTAGTAGTAATAATAGTAGTATTAATATAAGTAGTATAGATCAAAAATGTAAAACACAAAAATTTTGTTTAAATATAAGTTGTTTACAAATTGCATCTATATTAGCTGAACGTTTAGGACGTTATAATCGTCCTAAAATGATAACTAATTTATTAAACAATCAATGTACCATAGAACATATTGATCAATTGATTAAAATATTTTATATTGGTGATGAATTTCATTTATCAACTAATGATAATAGTTTATATAAATTTAAACAAAAACGTTTATCTACTTTATGGTTATATATAAGTAATGAATTACAAAATTATATAATTGATAATAAAAAACGGTCATCATTCATATGGACAGAAAAATTAGCTTATCTATTTCAACATTTAATTGATCAGAGTATATTTAAAAAGAATATGACGAATATAAATACGACGACTATACTTGTGGATGATCATGATGATCGTCGACGTACTGATGGAATTTATACTGTAAACAAATCTTTTAGTGAAAATTCTAGTTTAATTAATTCTTTAATTCAATATAATACAAGTCGAATACCTAGACCTATTCTAATAAATAAAGAAACTTATTCATCATTGACAAATTCAACAATGAAAATGATTCAATCTAATGAATTTGAAATATATAATTTATCATATAAAACAGAATTAGAACAATTAAATGATTTATTACAATTAGGAAATATTGCATTTCATGGATTAGGTAAGATATATCATATATATCATATCATTCTACATATCAGAAGGGGGTTTTGTGGAGATTGTTAATAATTTTATATAGTTGAAATCATTAGTCACTTGAAGCTAGACCACCATGGAAAATCTGGAATCATTGGATGGCAGTTTGAATCTCGTGAGACATAATCGTGAATGCACACTGCTGAGGAGTCCCACAATAGGAGAAAACAGCTGTCCAATTCTTCTAGGTTTTCCATGGTTGTCTAGCTTCAATTGACTCATGATTTCAACTATATATAATTACTAAAATCTCCACAAAACTACCTTTTGAATTATATTTATAATTATTTATTTGACTTAAATAAATTAAACATTTTTCTAATAATTGATAATCAACAAATACAAGTTTTGTATTGATTCAGTATTGTTTACAAGAGTAACGTTTAAAAGTGAATCAAAGTGAATATCCAGTTAATTGACTTTGAGCGATTTCAATATAAAATGCCTAGACAAGTATACATGTGTGACTAGATTGTTTGAAATAGATAACATCAATATATCATATATCTCAGATTGACCCTATCTTCTTATTGTTTTATTAAGACTATAGATATTCTGAGAAATAATTCGAGTTTTTCGAGAGTTTCAAGGATACATTCCTTGTAATTTTAGGAGCAAAATTTGTTTTCATGAAATAACAGTTTAGTTTTTTGTAAAAGAAAACAAAATTAAAAAGTTATCCATTGAAACCTATAACGCCGCGTCCGAAACGTATTTGTAATTTATATAAACAGAATCCTTGAAATATTTTATTGTGAAATTTCAACTAGACCACTATGGAAAACCTGAAAACAATGGACGGCTGATTCGTTCCATCGTGGGATTCCTCATCAGTGCATATCCACGATCCCGCCTTGCGAGATTTGAACCCAAGAGCTATCGGTCTCACACAATTCATGTTGGTCATCAATTAGACAACTTCATGGTTCCTTCCACATTGGTAATTTAGAATTTTGGATGACAATTTTTTTATTAACGACTTTATTGTGATGATTGTAAGATGTTAACGTATATGATAAATTACATTGGGCACATGCCAGTTTACTTCAAAAAAGAAGTGACTTTATGTATTTAGGTTATAGCACATTACAAGCAACTGTACAGCTACGTCGGCAACTAATTTGACTACAATAACGATGATAGAAATCACAGATAATTCACGACTGATTAGTAGCTTGAATTAGAGGTACAACGAAGCTTATACTTATAGCCGTTTTCATCATATCTGTCTACATAGAACCACTTAAAGACAGCCCGATTCGCCAAAAATGATAGAGCTTTAAATATAAGATATTGTAATAACCGTCAATAAGACGCATGAGACATTATGACTGAAAAAAACAGACTGTTAGAAACCCATAATTAGATTCATAACAGTGTTTTGAAATAACAGCACAGTCTGCTCCAAAATCCATCAGTTATTCTAGTATATTGTTCATCACAAACTGATTTTAGCTAAAAATGTCAGCTGAAAATCAACTTAAACTTGAAATCAATCTCATCCAAGTTTGAAACTTCACTAGTAGTGAACACCTCCGTTACACAGAATTGATCAAACCAAGGGTTTGCACTTTTCCCAGCAATCACAATACTACTGAATTAATGAGTCGAAACTATGTTCATTCTATCCGACAATTTCAAAGCTGATATTATTTTTGTGAAGAATATCTTGTTTCAGATGACGAATGAATTACATAAATAAAAACCACTATTTTGTCAGCCTTTTATCTTTTCTTAATCATTTGATATAATTTATTTTCCCTTATCACTATCTTTTTGTGAGAATACTGAACAGGTTAATTTGGGCTATCATAGTGATGATGATGATGATGATGATGATGATGATGATGATGATGATGATGATGATGATGATGATGATGATGATGATGATGATGATGATAATGATAATGATAATGATAATGATAATGATGATGTTCGTACATGGATACTATTGTATTATAGATGAGATTATAATTAAAGATGTAGGACCGTTAACCAAACAGAATACAGTTCAGTACAGTAACGAACTCACTTACTAATTATCTCTGTTCTCGTTTATAAATTATTGGGTGTAAAAAACTTCATTAAATAAACGAAACAACAAAAGAATGTGATATGGGCGAAACAAGTTGATTATTATTTTGCAAAGTTAAATTTTAAAACAATTTTGTATCATATAATCAATTATTGAATAAAACAAAACTGTTCACCTATAAAGCACCAAAGCACAAAGATGAAAGGATATAATTTACACTCTATTATAACTCTAGTCTTTCTTACTTTTTATCTTAACAGTTCAACCTTATTTATAATAAAATGATTTTGTTTCTTTTGGTCAGTTCACGAAAAAATCTGTAGAGTAAACTGTATTCTACTTACTTATTCATGTTACTCCCAAAGGAGCATAGGCCACCGACCAACATTCTCCGAATCACTCTGTCCTGCGCCTTTCTTTCTAGTTCTATCTAGTTGTTGTTCATTCTTCTCGTATCCGTTTCCATTTCTCGGCGTAATGTGTTATTTTGTCTTCTTATTCTCCTTTGGCCTTGAGGGTTCGAAGCAAAGGTTTGCCTTGTGACACACTTGAGTGATTTCCTCAATGTGTATCCTATCCACTTCCAGCGCTTCTTCCTAATTTCTTCCTCCACTGGATAGAATCCGGTTTGTTCTCTCCCACAGTGGATTGTTCCTGATAGTGTCTGACCAACGGATCCGAAGTATTTTCCGTAGACAACTGTTAATAAACACCTGTATCTTCTGGATGCTGGATTTCGTAGTTCTCCACATTTCCGCCCCATACAATAGAACTGCCTTGACATTTGTGATGAAAATTCTGATCTTGGTGTTGGTTGGCAATTGTTTTGAGTTCCAGATGTTCTTCAGTTGTTAGAAATGCCGCTCTTGCTTTGCCAAACCGCGCCCTTGCATCCACCGTGTTTATCAATGATTAATCTTTCCTGGTTATCGTTTTTTTAGCGAGTTAGTTTCCTACGGGATGGGGACGCTAACCTTATGCCCAACCCTCCTCCCTTATCCGGGCTAGGTGCCGCCAGCAACCTCAGGAAGGGCTACAGGTGGAGTTAAACTGTATGTAATTAAAAAAGAACAGAATCTGTTCATTCTAATGACGTCAGATCTAAGTGAACATAATAGAATGGAAGAATTTTTCTTTAACATTTATAGATAACTGTATTAAAAGAATGAAATAATTTAAAAGTGTTTTATATAAATGACTTCTTAAAAAGAATCGAAAGAAATTTAGCTAAAACCCTGCAAACAAATAAGTTTAGGAACGTTTATTTACGGTAAAAATCTGTAAATCTGTCTAATGGTTTGTTTTCCCAGTGATACATCATGAATACGTACCACACGAACCTCTGTAGTATTTAGTATCGTGTCATGCCCATAGGGTTTATTCTAGCTTCCGAACTGACTAGTTTATTCATTTTGCTCAACTCATATTTTGACCTTGTCAATTATTCGCACGTTAACCACGACTGTTTTTATATGAGCGTATGTGTGTTAATTGTTCACTCTATTCATTACGAGTCAGTAACTTATTTTTCTCTGACTGTATACTTTGAGTCATGCTTTATCAAAACAAGATGGCTCGCTTGCCTTCGCGTTGATGTTTTTCATTTTTCCGATGATATTCTTCACTTCGTTTCTCTTTCTGCACTCCGTTTCTCTGACTATCTTTTCGAATAAACGTGTGTAAGAAATATACGTATTCAGAATTTAGTCTCGTTTAATTCCGTTATTCACTAACGTGATTTAAGTCAATAAGAAGCACTTAAGAAGCACTGAACAACGTTTCCATTCTAGTATAGAACTCCTCAATAAACCATACCCATGACCTTCATACCGGATCGAATATTAAATCCTCTCCGGACGGCTGAGTCATCCTAAGCTTAAATTATGAAATTTAACATTCTATACAAACTCTCTCATAATAACACAAGCTTTGTTGATTCAAAGTTTACTTCCAATCGTAAACTATGTAAAAAAATTAGTTTTTTTAAAGCAAACCAAAATATGGTTTATCATAAAACTCAACACTATCTTGTACGTGTTTATCTTTTTTGTTTTATTTTTTTTGCGGGGGGGGAGGGGGAATAAAGTTAATCTCATCTACTTGCCTAATTGATTGTTATTTCTATTTTTGCCAATTAATTGTAATGATTAATAAAAGTAACACACAATATACTATTTCATTGTCATCTATTGAAAACAAATTAATTATGGCTATAACAATTAAGAATATCATGATAAAATCTAAGTTGTTTTTGTTTTGCAAAACCTATAACACTAAATAGCTTTTGTAAACAGTAATGAAAGTAACGATAGTAGTATTGTATGAAATGGGTGGTCGTTTCCAAGGGATAAATGGAGAATATAACAGAATATCTTTTTATCTTTATGATGAAGAAGATACACATATTATCCATGGATGAATAAATAGAAACCATAAGGTCCTGTTGTATATATATATATATTTGTATAGAAGATCACCTGATATACTCTCATGGCGATAATTATAATACAATAAACTAATTAATCTTGCATAAAAAATTAGGAACTTATCAGTAAGAAAACTGCATAAAGATCTACAGTTATCTATAATTTATAGTTACATATTTATTGACATATGTATCCTTCGAATGCCTTGGTACGGCCGAGGGTGGGGAGAGTCCAACCTCCTTGAGATGCTCTCATGTGGCCTCACATATACAGCCACTGTCAAGGAAGTCCTATTTACTGACGTCAAGAGGTGAGGGTGTTTTCTAACGAAAATGAAGTGGCAAAAGGCAAATGTCCAACGCTTTGACCAGGTTGGTGGACACAGAATGTCGAACTACTGGAAATGGGAAACCCTAATTCGAAACAGATACTACACATAGGCTCGAGGACCCTAGAGAAACAAATATCACATGAATCTATTATTGGTCTTGGGTTACCATGGGT